TGTGTACAATCGGCCCCGAAAGTTGTATTTTTGGGACTACTTTAGTCATATTTTATTTTATCGGGCCAAATAAAATATATCACGCGTTCCCAATAATCATGGGCCTTTTGAATAGATGTGCATTCCCCAACATTAATTTAGTAGCCTCCGAAACTCTTTTCGGGCTGTTATCCGCTAAATTACCAATACAGGTAATTGGGCCCCGTTTGACCAACCGGTCAACTCCATGCCTTTCTTATGGCCCAAATAAAATATCCACCACCATATACATATTATCTAGACCAAGATGAATATAATATGTGGTTCGGGAATTATCGGGCGGTCCCCGTCCCGCTGTGGGCCCCACATGCAATTTACTATTCACGTAAAAGAAATAGTAAAAATTTACAATCACGCAAATCCATAAATCATCTTTCAAGGTTTATTACATAATTTACTAAAAGTAAATATACTCGGGGTCGGTGTTACACTGGGGGGTTGGGTGGTGGGGGGTGGTGGTGGTGGGGGGTGGGGGGTAAAAAAACCTATAAATACTCCTAATCTTAAACATTTTTTCATATCTCTTCTCCAATTCTTCCTAAATCCTATTCTTAACTCTCTACTCTCTAATTCTCTTATTCTCCATTCTCCAATATATTATATTTATTATTTATAGTTTATATTAATTATCTACTTATATAAACCATAAATAGATATAAATAGTATTATATTACTTATATTTGTTATCTAATTATATATTACTTATATATTTATTATATCTATTAATATAGTTGGAATTATATCTAATTAATTTGAAGTCATTCTATTACTCCCATCCGAAAGACCGAAAGTCCGAAAGAGGTACGAAATTATTCTATTATTTACACTTGTTTAATTTTGTATTAATGTTACTTGAAAAAAAACTAGTTAATTAGGTTGTACAATTTGCTATAACTCGAATTAATAGTTAGATTAATAGTTAATTACTTTATTACAATTTTTTATTAATTGCTAGTTGCTACATTTGACTCTAGTTTAAAAAACTAGTTGTAATTCTAATTATAGTTAAAGTTAAAGTGTATTAATTTCATTGTTAGTAAAAAAAATATGTTGTACACAAAACTAGTTAATTCACTAGTTAATTTGCTATAACTCGAATTAATAGTTAGATTAATAGTTAATTACTTTTTTACAATTTTTTATTAATTGCTAGTTGCTACATTTGACTATAGTTTAAAAAAATAGTTGTAATTCTAATTATAGTAAAAAAAATATGTTGCACACAACAAGTTAATTCACTAGTTAATTTGCTATAACTCGAATTAAAAGTTAGATTAATAGTTAATTACTTTTTTACAATTTTTTATTAATTGCTAGTTGCTACATTTGACTCTAGTTTTAAAAACTAGTTGTAATTCTAATTATAGTTAAAGTGTATTAATTTCATTGTTAGTAAAAAAAATATGTTGTACACAAAACTAGTTAATTCACTGGTTAATTTGCTATAACTCGAATTAATAGTTACATTAATAGTTAATTACTTTTTTACAATTTTTTATTAATTGCTACATTTGACTCTAGTTTAAAAAAATAGGTTGTACACAAAACTAGTTAATTCACTGGTTAATTTGCTATAACTCGAATTAATAGTTACATTAATAGTTAATTACTTTTTTACAATTTTTTATTAATTGCTACATTTGACTCTAGTTTAAAAAAATAGGTTGTACACAAAACTAGTCAATTCACTAGTTAATTTGCTATAACTCGAATTAATAGTTAGATAAATAGTTAATTACTTTTTTACAATTTTTTATTAATCACTACATTTTTTAGATGGATCGTCCTAGATATTCGGTTGATATGGGTAACCTCGAGCGCAACCGAACGAAAGAGCTTGCGAGGAAGAGATCCCGCAAAGGTAAATCACATATCGACTCTTCATCTCAAAGTCAAGATGATTTTGATACGGGTTACGCAAGGAGGGATGGGGATGCGATGACCGACGAACAACTAGAACAAGAATTGCACCGACATAATTCCCGCTTTTTTCAAGACCAACCGAGGACCATTGACGAAGAAGAGCTCGAGGACGACGATGTGGAGGAAGTAATTCCGGAGAGCCACGACGAGGAGGAGGAGGAGGGTGGCGGCAGCCATGACGCCGACCAACCTGCCTCATCCCAAACAGGTACAAAAAAAAGTAAATCTGAACTAATGGCTAGTAATTTTTCTAAGTGGAAGGACCCGAACACCGGGAATTGGGCCGCAACTTGCAATTGGTGCAAGAAAAACTATAGCTTGGGGATTTCCGGCGGATACGGATCCGCCACAAGACACCTTAAGTCCAAACACCCGGTGGAGTATGCAAAATTAGGCGGCGGAACGGGGACGCAAACGCAAATATCGAGGTTTGCAAATAACCAACAAGCTTTTGGTAATTTCTCATACAATGATGCACAAAATTTGACAGGTATGACTAACTTACTTGTTGAAGAAAATTTGCCTTATTTGTTTTCTGAAAGTCTTGCTTTTCGTGATTATGCACAAACTTGTTTAAATCCGCAATATAGAGGTTATAGTCACAAAACGGTTAAGAAAGAAATTTCAAGGCTTTATGGTGCGGTAAAGGTAAGGTTACAAAATTATTTTGCAAACTTTGATGGACGTGTTACTGTATGTTCTGACATATGGAAGGATACTTATCATAATTTACATTATTTGGGTCTGACTGTACATTATATTGATAATGATTGACATATGCATAAACGTGTTCTTAATTTCCGTGAATTTAATGATCGTCACACCGCTGAACATATTTATATTTTGATTGAGCGTATTTTAATTGAGTATAATTTAATTGATAAGGTGTTTGCTATTGGTTTTGATAATGCTACTAATAATACTGCTGCTATTCCTAGATTGCGTGAATTGTGTGGTTCTACTTCTTTGATGGGTAGATTTTTTCATCAACGATGTCCATGTCATGTTCTAAATTTATGTGTGCAAGATGGTCTAAAAGCGTTGGGAGCATCGTTGAAGGTAGTCAAGGGGGGAATTAGACGTATTTGGGGTAATGGACAACGTAGAAAAAAATGGCATGATTATTTGATAGAAAGAGGTGAGAGATATGTGGCTTTTCCTAAAGATTTGTCTATTCGTTGGAATAGTACCTATAAGTTAATTGGAGTTCTTCTTAGATATAAACAACATTTTCCTGCTTTTATGAAACAATATGATAACTATATTATAAACTCGGCTGAGATCGACACCTGTGAAAAAATTTGTAATGCTTTGATATATTTTAATAATGCAACTGAAACTTTTAGTCATGTTTATAAACCTACCTCAAACCAATTTATTCGTGAAGCTGTTAATCTCGCCGGTGCTTTTTCAAATTTTGAGAATGCTGATTATGTGAATTATTTTGCTAATTTTATGAAAGAAAAGTTTTTAAAATATTATTCACATATTCCGCATATTTATGGTATTGCATTTGTTCTCGATCCTCGTTTTAGACTTGGTTCTTTAGAAGAATGTTTGAATTATTATTATGCTGCTTTTTTTGGTCCATTGCCAATGTATGAGGACAACCCAATTGATCCGAAAAAAGAATACAACGAGGTTAGTGATATATTTTATGCATTATTCAATGAGTTTCATGCACAATATGGCAATGCGCCCCCTCCCCCGACACAAACATCATCTAAAGGAAAATCAATTTTCAAATCTACGTTTGTCAATCTTATTAAAAAAACGAAATCAACTCCCGCTACACAACAAAGCACAATTAATGAGATTTCTTTGTATTTAACTTATGATGTTGATTTTGAAAAAGATGATGATTTTGACGTACTAAACTGGTGGAAGTGAAAAGAAAGAATGTTCCCAGTTTTAGCAAAGATGGCTAAGCAAGTGCTATCCATGCCGATTTCAACGGTTGCCGTGGAACAAGAATTTAGTTCGGCCGGTAATGTTCAAACACAAACCAGAACGAGGTTGAACGCTGAATCTCTTGAGCGCTGAATTTAGTTCGGCCCGGCGGGTGGCCCGACCCGTGACCCGAGCGGGTGGCCCGGCCCGAACCAGACCCGTCCAACCCTCAGGCCGGTCCCGAGCCCATATGATACGAACCGGCGGACCGACCGGGCCTAGGCCCGACCCGAATCCACCCCTGAGCACCATGATCATGTACTATTTCTTTCAAAATGTAAATTTATGATGTTAATTTCATAATTTAAAATAATTTAGCATTCATGAAGATACAATTGACATTCTAAACTTTCACCGTAAAATAAATAATACTACCCCCACTTTATATAAATGCAACATTTTTAATTTGATATTTTAAATTATACAATTAACACAATAAATTTACATTTTTTTAAGAAATAATATATGATCACGGTGTCACAGTGACGGTGATAACATAACTTTTTATATAAAGTTTTGAGATTTATATTACATATGAAAATTTAGAATGTTTATCTCACTCATTCAAAGTTTGAGGTATTTTGAATTTTTTTCGCAACATAAATATTACTACGTATAAGTTATTTATGAATACTTGTAAATCACCGGAATATTATGAGAAGATTTTTCAATTGTTGAGATTATTTTGAGATAATTGATAACTTGAATTATTTCAAAAAAATCACTAATAGTTGGGACTATTCTTGTCCATTATTCCTATTAGTAATCATATACCAATACCGTAATATTTTAAGCATGTGTGATGCGTCACAATTTGCAAACACAGATCTGAAACTTTATTTAAAATAATCCCTTAACATCAGTGGTCACCCCGGTCTGTCGGTCCAGACTCCAGACCCAGGTTTGGGCCGTTTGGCGGTGTGCAGGTGTATTAGTGTAGAGGATACCCGGTCCCAGTTCAACGATTTGGGGACCGAATTGGGATTTGAAATTCGGTTCATAATGCACTGACCGGAAATGGGACCGGACCAACCCAAGTCCATGCCTAGTGACTTTAACACTTTCACCAGACTCAGGTAGTCGAGGGTCTTGAAGACATTTTTTAGGCCCAAAAAAGAGACCATTACTCCAACTAATTCATAATATGATGTTACAGCCTATGATAAAAAAATGTTACAGCCTTTTGACGCTAGGAAATTGAAAAAAGGTATACATTTATCTGCACTCCAACTAATTGAGGAAGGTTACATACGCAATTGCATATCCTAGCGAGCACCAATAGGAGAAGCAAAATGGAAGAGACTAAACCCTCATCCTGTATTCCTGTGTGCTAATTCGTTTTGGAAGCTGAATATATTAGTGCATGTTCTCTGGTATCCCACCTGATACAACACTATCGTCTACCGGCTTAGGCCCTCCACATGACCTCGAAACTGATTCAAAAAGTTTCTCAATTTCAGGCGCACACCTGGTGAATGACCTGCTCCAGAAGTTATATCGAGGATTCTGCCAAACAAATTTCCCATGAGTAAACCCCTCAAAAAATATCCCTCCCCCAAACTTAAACAAGCTAAAAAAGGTGCTCGATTTCTCCTTGGACAAATACTTCCTTTTCTCTTAATCTCACAACTCCCACCCTCTGCACTTTTTGGAGATTAAGACTGTAATACATTAATTGACCCATATCAAATGAATGAATTGAGGTGTTGCATGATCATGGATGGATAAGGGTGTGTGATGAAAGAGATGAACGTGCAACCTTTTAAAATTTCAATCCACCACTACACAGCAGAATGTGACTCAGTGACCTGAACAATAATTCATCACATCATGGTTAAGTCCACAAGCAGGATAATGGCTGCATGGGGCTGGGTGGAGTTAAATGGATAACACTCTCCGACTCCCATGCAGGCACAACCCGCAACCGGCACAGGTATAGCACGAATTGAAACATTACCACGTCCTCTACAAGTTCCCAAAGCCATCAAACTTTTTCCAGTGTAATACACTCCACTATTGAAATGATTATGATTTTTTTATGATTGAACTTTACGTGGAGTAGGAATTTTCATAAGCATACCTTTATCAGCTCAATGAAAGTGATCAGAAGACCCCAGGGATGAGGTCTGTTGACAATTAGGCGCTCCAACAGGACTCTTGTGATCTGTTCTTGGATCACTTCCTGCTTGGGTCACCAATTAATAGTTAAAAAAACTTAAATATCTAAAAAAAGAATTGCTTGAATTTTACATGTAATATTTTCTAAAACACAGAAATTCAACAAAGACAAATCCTGAGGGAAGACGAAACCCATCATTGTTCAACAAACACATGCATAGACAGGGGTATAGCTAGGGGGGTAACCTAGGCCCCGGCCCACCCCAAATTTTAAAATGCCTATATTTTTAGTTTAAAAAATTCCATGTGAAATTGTTTCCAAAAATATTCTTTGCATCGCCCCAATCCGGCCCAGTGCCCTGCCTCCACCCTTGTGCATAGATATCATTAAAGTTCAAACCCCCTCGCTAAACTATCCACGACTAATACCAAATCTGCCAATGAGTTAGAAATCCACCCCACTACAACATATCCATGACTAATACCAAATTCTGCCATGGCAAACCAGTATTCGTGATTGTTTCATGTACATTAGCTGGGTGAGACAACATCAAATACTGTTCTCTCAATCGCACTCATGTTATATAAACATAGTTAATAACTTGAACGCAATCACATGTTATTAACTTAATGACGTCCGTTCTTATTTGTGAGACAACATCAAACCCTTCTTATTTTTTGCCCCTATGCTTTAGCTTGTACCAAGGGCCGCCCACTTCAAGCACCAAGCAAGGCTGAATACCCCCTCCCCCCAATTGTGTTCCTCAACCAAAACATAGGCAGGATTAGCAAATCAAGTAAAGACAGCTAGCATGAACATAAACCTAGACCATATTGGCATTCAGTTAATAATTGAATACAAAAGAAAAGATAAAGTCTGAACTCTGAAGAAACCATAACAAATAAATGCTCCTACGATTATTTTAGAAATGACAGAAAATGGAGCTCAACCATACCTGATTTGGTTCGGAGGAGAAAAGGTAGAGGAGGATGAATGAGAAGTAATGTGTGTGATTGTTTGGATATCGCAATTGGTTAGCAACCGCATTCAAGAAGAGGTAGCGACCCTCAGTATCCAAGTCCATTATAAATGACTGAAATATGTCCAGAGCAGCCCCCACCAAGAAAACAGGATATGACACACTGCTTGTCATTGCCTGAGAATGAGATACAGTTCTTGCTTGCAGCTGCTGTATAGCCTACAGGAAGGTAACTCAACAACTATTTAATAAATAATAAATCAATATCACTCACACCTTTACAAGAAATTATTGAGAAATAACAGAATGGGTAGAATGTATTGTACTGACGTACCAACATTCCAACATAAAGAACGAGAGAGTTAATAAGAGGAACATTGTAACGAGTCCCTGCACGGGCAGACTCTGCAGGAGAGAGTAACACTTTTTGCTTCAACTCACTAAGAAACAGAGACCCATGTTGCCTTGTCTGTATAGTTGTGATCAGTTCAAGAATACCAAAATAAGAACGAATTTATGTTTACACACACACAAACAAACACATACGCAAAGGAAAAGGAAAGAGGTCTGATATGTGAAAGTGACAATTCAAGAAAGGTGAGAAATAGAAGCATTATTTTCCTCATTCTATTGGTATATGCAAATTGGAGAACGGTGAGATTATTCTTGTTCGGATCTACCTTCAAGTATTCATCTATGTCACTCTTTATCTGCTTTGTTTTAAGAGCAGCATCAACTTCAGAAAGAATCCGTGGAGATTGACTTATCTCAGCCAGTAGATCAATCTGCAGGGCAAGTAAAAGAATGTTTATTTACGCTCAGATTGATAAAATGAATTGTTAGAGTTGAGTTCCAGTTGAATTCACCTTCAGGTTGGGAGTGGAAGGATCAGGTAGCCTCATATTGCGAGGGAATGCACTGAGAATAATATTTCGCATCTGTATGCAGCTTGGGGGGATTACATCACAGAAGCTGAAATGATAGTCACAAAGGAACTCCGGAAAGTCATGAAGGAGAACCAACAGCACCCTGAGTGTCCCTTTATATAGGAAATGAACCTGATTCCGGAATAAAAGAGAATAGTAAGACGGAACTCTCGGAAAGCAATAGATTAACTACCAAGTTAATCTATAAAACAAAGACAAACCGCTTCTCCAAGTTCAGCATTCCTCAAAAATGGCTCCATGAACTGAAATAGGTCGACCAGCAATCGCTGAAAGTAAGGCCATCCTTTCTGAGCATTTGCAGTGAGTAGTTTTGGCATGAAACTCCTGTGACTAACCAGCTCAAGCCAGGCAAAGCTGAGAATAAATCATCAATTAAGCCAAAGATGAAGACTTCTGAGTGAAAATTATGTTACAGAAAGAATAGCAACACCTTTTATTTGAACTACACATAGTATTTATAACAAACATAATTAGATTTTTATCCTCTCAAGAATTCACAACTTGACCATGGAGTTGACCATAGACATGGGAGAACAACGATAACACATAACAGGGAAAAAATAACCTGAATCCAGGAACCTTGAGGGGTTGAAGGGCATGGAAAGCATTTGCTAAAGCAGTTAGAACCTAAAACCAGATGCATCAACAAAAACAGTTAATGCCAAACCAGTTAAAGAGCAGCCAACCACAGTAACGAATATATCATAGTATACACCTGAAAGTTTGCACCATCAAAAACTGGCTCTAATGAACAGAAATCCAAGAGCCAATTAATATATAGTCTAAAATATGGTCTGGGATTAAAGGAAGCCTTCTTTTCTTCAGAATCTTTCTGAATGAACTTGACTGTTACTGCAAGGACCTGTCATGGAAATAAATATCTTCACACATCTAAGGCAAACACACAAAATGTAAGCTCACCCTCAACCTCCAGAACCCATACCTTCGGCAAAAGGGAAAGCTTACTCACTCCTTGATCCGCAGGATAAAACTGCACAAGTGCACAAGAGCACAAGAAGTGGAATTAATAAGAAAAACAAAACGTTATGGATCTGATAATCTTCAAACAAAGTGTAAAGAATACAAAGAAAGAGAGTAAAAAAATACAAACCTTCAGAACAGAATACACCAGTTTAGCATAAATATCAATAGCAAGGAATGACAGAGGTTGCACATGATGTGATTGAGGACTTGAACTAATTACCTCAGATGACAAGCAGTGTGAAACCGAGAGTTCCTGGGGAAAAAACTCAATTACTGTAAACCGAAAAATCTTGACATTTTTCATTCTGAATCATTATAACAGGAGACATCAAGCACTGACCATGAGCAAGCGGAAGAAGCGATCTGAGGCCTCATCCCCTTCTAATAGGCCACTCTGGTGCAGTTGTGTAACATAGTGTGCATACACAGATTCACTTGCTCCATGAAGTTCACATATTCGGTACCATTCAGCGAATAACATGGAGACCTAGAAAATCAAATAATGATAAGGCACACCGAGACCAAATAAATGAATAAGTTATATGAAATAGGCATCTATAACCACTGGTATACTGCATCGGCTGAAGACCATTAGGCAGACTAAACTCACCCTCTTGATTTAGAGTATATCAGATGGTTTCATTTACAAAAACTTATTCCATTGAAATTGATAACGCTCTGCACTTTGTTTTTTGAACATTGGTGTAACCATATGACATCAGGAAGGACAAGAGAGTAAACAAATAAAAGCGTTCAAAACCAGCTTATAACAGTTTATTTCTTGTGGCAATCTTTGATACTTAATAGTGGTTGACCACAGCACTATTCAGCTATACCAGTGATAATGGCACCCATACGTTTCTGTCTACCTGTCTTTCTGTGGACCAATAAAACAAAGGAAGCTTACACTATATCACTATAGCAAATCCTAGCAAACAATATAGAATTTCCTCTTCAGAGACTGGAAACAATTTATTTCAAGTATCTAGTGGATGGATTATGTTTCTACTGAAAAGTTCAGAACTAATTACAGAAGAAACTTCATGAAGCATCAAGAAATTTAGTCAAGCCACTGCTGAGGCATTCTTCCCAAATAACTTCATGAAGTATGAAAACAAATATATAGCATATTCACGCTATGTATGGAAATACCTGTTCACGAAATTCAGCAGGGTCAGGCTCCACGGATTCAGAGCAAATGTCATTTCTAGAAGACAGTGGAACTACAACAGCCTGTCACAAAATAAACTTATATTTCAGATTCTTTATAAACATTGGTAAGATGTTACGAGGTAAAGAGCATGTCACAGGCCAAACCAGCAGCACTAACCGGAGGAATTTTAGCCATCTCAACCAGCTGTTTTAAAGATTCAGGAGAACCAGGTCTGGCGGCAAGCTGAAGATGTTAAAATATCAAAAAAAGAATTACATTAAGAAATAAGACTAAAGCTACAACTGGGACAAAATTAAAAAAAAATAGTGTAACACAATGCCTTTGCAAGTGCATCCACAATGTTTTGTAGCTCAGATATTGCTCTGGATTCACTCATCACTAAAGTTTGTATAAGAGATATGGCGAACTCAGTTGCAGCCTCTGCACAACATAACAAAACAATTAGTAAAGCTAAAAACCAATACCATTCAAAGTTTTGGTCACGTACTATTTCTTCCTGCATCAAGAAGTTTTGCCATATGAACATTGTACTCAGCAAGGTTGAGAAGTTCACTACGTATAAGACCAAAAGTAATTTCTTTGTTGAACTTCCACTCCTCATCAGAGTAAGTCACCTGCACAAAATGCATGCTTTATCATATCAGATGGCACATCCCAAGGAAATTTACCAATACATCAATAAATGGTATACCCACTAGGCCACTATATACTAATGCATGATCCACCATCATTGGGATATTCTATAGGAATGGAATAAATACTGCATAAAGTAAAACTCATAAACATATTTAGAAGAAAAAAAACAATGGTATAATAAGTGTGCATTTGTGGGTGGGTTTTAGATATATGTGACATGAGTGTTTCAACATCAACAACCAGGCAGATTTTAAGAAGCACAAAGGCACTTCCGAAGTGTCAATTATCTGAAGCCGGTATTCTAAAGAACTGCCTCTGATGTTTCTTCTAGAGTCGATTTTCAAAAGTTCCTTGTGTTATGCTTTAAAATAGCTTTTCAAAATATAGAATCTGCAGGGGAAAAAAAATCAAAATGATATTTTGGCAACATACCCAGCTAGTCAACTCTTTAACAACGAGCTTACTGACATCACGAATAGCCACCAGAATTGCCAGATGAGCATTAACATGCACACTGTTTGATGCATTTTCATACAATCCTTTGAACACCTACAAAAAACTAGCAAACCTCAAACCACAAGTGCTAAAACATATTTCTACCCTAAAGCGGGTGAATAACACACCTTTTGAGCCACGGCAAGGGCTGCCTCATCTAGACTCATGCATCTAAGAATTATTGCAGGAACTTCAGTAATAACACCCTGCCAAAAGAATCATGAAATTACATGGTACCAAATCCCAATAAGCCCAGATGACGAAACTATAAATAAGTACTTCCTCCGTCCCAGCTTAAGCTTCTCATTTGCCTCTTTTGGACGTCCCAGTTATAGGTTCCCATTTCTATTTTAGGAAATAATTAGCACTCTTAAATGACACCATAATCATAATATTAAAAATAATACATTAATAACATCACAGTTATCATCAATGACCTCATTATATAATATACCCATCAAAATTACTTCTCAAAATATACTCAAACAACCTTATTTATTTATTTATTTATTATCTAAATAACCATGTCATTTTTCAATGAGAAGCTTAGGTCAGGACAGAGGTAGTAGATTTAATGATAATACTATCATGGACATAAAGCAGTTTTTAATGACCAAAAGCAATTCTGGGTTTTTTCACAGGGAAAAAACACGGATACCTGAATTTCTGCTTCTTTAGCATCAGAAGACACTAGGCTTTCAAGCTGAGAAACAACATAAATGGTAGATTATATAAGTTCCAGACACTAAAGACAATAATAGTCAAATCAGCAGACATTAAACAACTGTTTAAACTTCTCTTCAAAGTCAGTCAAGTTCAAGAATGACTGAAATTGTTTGATTAAACTCCACATAGTAATATTCATAAGGTAAAACTGATAATACGAAGAGTATTAAGTTCCACAAACACAAAGATCCCAACTCTTCATCATTATTCACCTTAATCCCAAGTGCCAACAATGTTGGGACATGTGGTTGGCAACATGAATTTTGACATGTCAATTAATTATCTAGAACTAATTAACACTTGAAATTTGTTCAAAAAATAATGTCGAAAGGTTCCTCCAAGAAACCATCCACTCTGTTAATTTGGCATCATTAAGTATAATAATTAAAAGACATATTACAAAATTAAGCATTTAAAGCCAACAAAATAGAAAACCTATATCTACCCAAAAAAAATCTGAATCAAAAGCGAAAAAGGAGTACAGTGTAATTGTGCAAAAGGGAAACATATCATTATGGGGAAAGCATAATATATGTGTTTGTGCGTCTAATCTGTCTACGCGTGTGAGCGTATGTTCGTATAATCAAGATAAGACAGAACACTGAACCTTCTCTAAAACAATCTGGTATTTATCCATTGCATCTCCTGTGGTCAATAGCTGCTCTGACATACTGCTCCCCAGACGCTCAACAGTTGCTATTAGATTTGGTGCCTGTGCCGAACGACCTAACTCCTGCAAAAAGCAGTTGTCTAGTTTCAAAACAACATTCATTATCACCACGTATAAAATATAATAACCTAACCAACCTTTACAACATTAGACTGTTCAGCAGGCTGCAGGTCAGAAGCAGAAGCTGGACAATATGGTGTAATAGTGTCATTTTCAAAACCACAATCACCAATCCCAATGTTAGGTGAGGAAGCACTACAATTTAAAGAAACAGTTAAAAGAAACATTAGCAACTTAAGGAAATAAAGAGTTTTAGAAGGAAAACTACAGAGAACTAAACACATAATACAAATATGCTAAACAGAGTTCAGGCAAAAAACACCTATGAAGCTGGGATGAACTAATGTCCGTATCTTCTGTACCAATATCTAACGACTGTGGCATGGAAGCAATTCCTGCATTAACAAGGCCAGCTGAATAAATTCCAGCATTCATCTGAGCAGAACCAGTCATATAAGCCCGAGACACAGCACTGCTACTTGGTGAAGGAGAAGGACCAACAGGCAAAGCATTTGAGCTTTGCCCGGATTGATTTTGAAGAGGCAAACGAACAAAATCCTGTACACACAGGATTGACACGAATCTCAATAAAATCTCATAAAGTAACACATATCGCTAAAATGATGTACGTACCTCATAAACTCGTTGTTGAGAATGAGACAAACGGCCAGGTTTAGGACGTAGAGCTTCAGGTAAAACTCCTAAATGTCCTGGAGTATAGAGACCTGAATCGAAGAATGTAGGACCCTCTCTGTGCTTCCTCATCGCAAGCTGTTGAGCAATAGTTTCATCAATTGTTTGTATTGCCTGCAAAAAGGTGAAGCAAATTAACATAAAAGACAAAATGGATTAAAAAAAGTAAATGCCAGCATAATAGACCATAGCACAGTAAAAGGATAACATTCTTAAGTCTTATTCCTAAGTTAATAGAGTCTGCTATAGGACCCCAGTTCAAATTATCATAGAACAAAAGGACAACGAATTGTCAATATCTTTGATTAGCGAGCAACATTTAACTTCGAAAAAAGATCTTGAATACAGCCGAAAACCTTAGGTTTAAGAGAAACTAGCAAATCAGACTCTTACTGTATTGGAAATGGCAATTAACCACTCACATGGTAAAAACATCCAATTAAATGCTTCAACTTAAATAAGACACCCAAGTTAATCATTTAGACGGTTCTCCTCCCATTTTCATGTGACTCTGCCAACACAGCACTTATTTGACCGCCATCTTAACATTTACCTTGCTTTTTTATTTCTTTATCCTTCTTTCTTTTTACTTTATTTCTTCCTCTCTCCATCCCTGCGACACAACCTACAACCATTCCTACTTTCTTCAACCCTCTTTCTTTAACCTTCTTTCCTTTTTCTCTCTTTGGTTTTTCTCCTTTCACTCCTTAACTGAGCACACATTTAGATTAGATTTAAATTACCATATGTTTAAAATGTTTAGAATTGTTGATCTGCTCAATAATGTTTTTGTTGGTCTTATGGGGATCGACACCAACTTTTGATTCAATGCCTACTCTTTGATTAGGCTTGACCTGCTGGCAACTCCTCAGTCCATCCACCGCTCGTGAGTGGAGCTCTACACTGCCGCAGTGAACTGTGGGTGTCCCACAGAAATCTAACTTGACGTGGTCACTACAGAGTAATGTTTTAAATAGAGTGTGTCTACCTTCTTATCACCAATTGGTTTTAAGAAGGATATGACTACTATTTAACTATAGAATTATGTAGATAAATGAGCCAGGGCAAGAAATCTCAAGGACGGGTGACCCATCAGACCGAGGTCGCAGGTGAATCTCTAGATGGGGTGATTGTCGGTCTTATGGGGATCCACACCAACCTTCGATTCGGGGCCTACTCTTTGGTTAGGTCTAACTTGCTGGCACCCAATGTGATGCAGCCCGTCAGCCCCTCATGTCCATTCACCGCTCAGTCAAGGTAGTCAAAGTCATGAGGCGCACTCAAGGAGCTAGAGTATTTATATAACCTGATGCACAAGGCGCAAAATAAGTGCTCGCCTGACTCATGTCAAGTGCACTATTTAGAAAATATTATGTATACTATTCTAGAGTGATCAAATATGACATATCCAACATCATATTAAACTAAGTGCATTAAAAGTTCATGTTTCTCAATAACAAAGTCACAATCAACAAAAATAAAGTCATGATTCACAAAAACAAAACACCGAGCAGGGTCTGTTTTAATTGATTTTGCGGTTTGAAGACTAGGGGTAGCATAGATTGTGTAGTGTATGAAACTATAGAGTTATAGACTGTATAATAAGATGAAGCGAACAGAACTATAAAGTATAAAATATATAAGAAGCAAAGAGAGCTATACAGTATAGAATATATAAGAAGCAAAGCGAACTATAAAGTATAGAATATATAAGCACAGAGAACTATAAAGGATCAACAACAAGATGAAAAAATAAATGAAAACTACAATCTGAAAAAGAAACCTTACGGGTTTCTGACTTCTGTTGGTTGATCGTTGAATGGTTTTTCAGTGCTGAACTAGTTGTGCGAGTAAAGCATAGGAGAGTAACGATGAAGTCACCCTATAGAAAGCTTTTACCGTGACTTAGAAGTTAGAAGGGTTTAACATGGGTTTAAGTTATTTTAACGTGTTACTTGAATGGGCTAAATCTTATTATAAGTACGGGCTTATTATTTAAAGTAGGAGTCCTACTGTAGGACCAAACAAATAAATAGGATGATATGTCTTTCCCAGGCCAGGCGACTTAAGCGTGCGCTTTTCAGCACTTCAAGGCCTTCAGTGCTTCTGCGCTTATTGCGCCTCACTTGCACTTCACTCAGGTGGATGCGCCTGGGACTCTAACAGGCACTGACCCTCATATGCGCCTCGCCCGGTGCGCTTAAGCGCTCAAGAACGTGCTTTTGACTACACAGCGCTCAATAGTGAGGCTCTGCACTAGAGTAATGTGTTAAATAGAGCGTGTTCACTGTCTACCTCCATATCACCAATTGGTTTTAAGAAAGATATGACTACTATTTAATAGTAGAACTTTGTAGTTAAGCGAGTCTGGGGAAGGAGATCTTAAGGATGGGTGACTCACTAGGAAGCTTTTTAAAAGGGGGTGAACTGATCCTACAGTTTCAGAAAAGCAAGTGACATAGGATTTCTAGATTGGTTAAATTAATCTTTAAAATGGCTAGATTTGTATATGAGGTGTTAAACTACTTGCTATCGGGGTTGAAATGATTCTTCATACAGATATAGACTGCCAAAACCAGAAGTTCAAAGCATGGTTTTATTTTATTTATGGATATGGTTAAAAAATAACTGATGGAGGTCTCAAATATGGTTTTTTGGTAGAAACGGTAGAGGAAAATCTCATACAAATGGTGAATTCCCGCTTAAGAATTAAGATTGTCTTCATCTCTCTTGTTCGAAGCAGAAAAGGATGATAAGTTGTCCAAGGTGTTTTCGTTGAGGTGTAGGTTATGAGAGATTAAGGCAGTACACTTAGCTTTAATTTTTTTGCTTTATTTATGGATATGGTTAAAAATACTCCCCCAATCCCAATTTGTAAGGTACATTTACTATTCACTTGGTCAACATAAATCACGTTTATTCTTTTACTTTATATGTCAAAAGTTTATGAAATTTGAATTATTTTTTGCAGGCTTTGTAGCGGTTTTAATGTAGTTTCTGAATATGTAAATTTTATTTTCTAAAACTAATTTGACTGTTGACAGAAATCAATTTGCTTTATCATCGGTCAAACATCGTAAATCGTAAAGTGTCTTACAAATTGGGACGGAGGGAGTAATTATAGAGGTCTCGAATATGGTTTTTGGTAGAAACTGTAGAAGAAAATCTCGTGCAAATGGTGAATTCCCGCTTAAGAATTAAGATCGTCTTCGTCTCTCTTGTTCGAAGCCAAGGTGTTTTTGTTGAGGTGTAGGTTATGAGAGCTTATGTGGCATGATGAATTCCAAATGAGCAACTAAAACATTTTGACTCAATCTGATTTGACTCATTCTACATTTGATCTATCTTAATAAATACTCCGTAATAAACAGGCAATCAGGGCATTACCATATTTTGGGGTACAACAAGGTTTCATGTATTCTTTTCGCTTTATCAAGCATTACTGGAGAATTGGAGATTATAAATTCATGTCATACAGCTAGCTTGAATGGCAGAATAAAAATCAAGAAAAGTAGTAATTAATTGGGATACAAACGCATACACATCATGTCTGACATAATTTTGAATTCGGAAACGAAATACCTTCTCAGTTGCAGCTTGCTCGATAAACGCACAACCAAGGTCTAGGTTGTCATTAGTCACTAGTTGGACAGCTTGTTCAAGGAGCTCATTAGTAATACTTAATCCCTGGAGCATACTTCGAAGCTGGCTCAATATTGAGCCACGTAAAGGTTCCTAGGGGTTGAAAAAATGCCACATTTCACATATTAAGTTATGTACGAAATGCATCAAAACAAAAAGTAATTGAAATAATGATAAAAACGCTGATTCCTATCTACCTTGCATGTCACATGAGCGAGACTTCCTGCTAAACTAGCAACCATCAGGTGTGCAGCATTACGTATTCGGGTCTCATCTGACTCCATGGCATAGTCCTTCCAAATACAATTTTATTATGGATTCAGAGGGTGGGAACATTAAAGTGCCTTTATGCACACACACTGTGTAGACTAAAGAGGTGTTGTATATTATACGAAGTAATTGGATGAGAAGAATGTTTTTTAAAACCTTCAAAACAAGTTCCTTTGTTGTTTGAGTAGCTATAGAAACACTACGGTGCACAATGCTAGTAACTATTTCCTTCATAGCTCTATCCAAGGCAGTGGGAAGCACACTACAGCAACAAAGAATAATTGACAAAAACGTAACTACCAACTACCAAGATAAACATAGTCATATGAAGGGATATAGTTGCAGTACAAGTTTTGCACCTTTGAAAATGTAAATGCATGCCCAAAGCACGAAGTTTTGGGTTGATGATAACTTGCTGTTCAATATTAGATGTGGGTGCAGGAAGCTGCAACAACAGTTAACATTTAATTATTTATATTGCATCAGCTTTATAGCAAGACAAACCCACTTCAAAACTTAATTGCAAATGCAGGTGCCAAATACCTGACTAACAGAAAATGGTGTCTGCCCTTGCAAGAGGACTTGACGCTGGTCAGAAAAAGCTACGAGCTTTTCGTCCTCCATAAGTGTTGCAGATGGAAGATGGAGTGGAGGAGCATACTAGACAATCGTGTAAAGTAAGTGGTAATGATAAGTGGTAACACCTGAAGTCAAATAATGGATAAAAAAGCATTTACCTGAGATAATAATCTTGGATGACCACCAGGATGAGATGGATTTGTAGCCTCAGCCGGTAATTCAACCGGATTAGGGGTAGGTGTAATTCCTGATTTGCCATCAGTAACCATCGGGGGCTGAGAAGATCCAACATCTTTATTTGAAAAATCAGGATTCCCTTCAACTTCTCTAATTCTGTCTTTAAGCAGAGAAGTTGGCACTACATTTTTCAAGTCTACGCCAAGGTTTTTGAACAGCACCTGATATGAAATAAAAAAAAAAACAAAACAGGACAGACATTAGTGAGACCGTCCAAGACACAGTACACAAGTAGGATAAAGAGAAAAGGATATCTATAAATACCTCAATATCGAATTTGAGGTTCATCTTTAAATTCGGCATTGCATAAATCTCAGCAAGTAATCCAAGTATACCCATTGTCCATGGATTAGGGGGCTGATATGCTATGCTGTTCTGACATGGTTCCAATATCTGCAACAGGCAATGACATATAAAACATCACAACAATAAACACAAAAAATAATAGCACTTATCACAAGGATAATGCAGAAACCTTCGAGGTAAAAGGAATAACTGCAATCATTAGCCCTTTTTCATAAGCCTGCAACAAAGAATACATCAACTCATTTTAAATTCAAAAAGCCATCCCGATAAAGTGGAACCGAAATTGTAACGTGGAAAGTGTTCCAGATCCACATATTATTGTTTCAAATGTAAAAAAGAAACAAAAGCAACAACCTCTATGATCAAAGGCTTTGGATCAATATGCCTAGCACGCAAAACTTGATTCCTGCCAATTGTTATCTTCCCTAGCCAACTTCCTAGATTTTTTAGCAATGAACGTTCCTCTGAACTTGACTTTATAAGCTCTGATCCTAACAGAACCTGTTAAAAATAGAAGATACAGAGTATAGAAGATATAGCCTATAGTTTTAGGCCCCATTTATTTGACCGTATCTATTATATTCTTTGAAAGGAATAGCTCTTGGCTATGTACTTTAGCGACTGGGTCAAAGGCTGAGTAGTGATTTGGACCAATTACTCGGGACTAATCGGTGATTATTTGGCCTTGTATTAGTAAATTTTCTAACAACACATGCCACAACATTCTAATAATATAAGTCCAACAAGTCATACATACAAAGAGAAAACAATAATCCACAATAACTAACATTATACACATTAGTTTTGTATTTGTTATTCATAGATAACATTAATACCAATGTCCACAAACACAAATTAAGATAGTTTTTTGTTAAAATGAAGTCCCAAATTTCTTTTTTAATGCCACTGACCCAATTTTTATTTTAAAATGTTCACTTAAGACCTAGTTACTCACCAAGTAAACGGAACCACCAAGTCCCTAAAGTCACCAAGTCATCGTTGAGTAACTCAGTTTCTTGAACCGGACCAAGTAGGACGACAACTCAGCAAGGTCCAGGGATGAGTAGTGAGTACTCTGGACTACTCACAGATTAGATAATATAAGCATTTGGTAATAAGCTATCTCAGCCAAAAAGAATATACAAAGCTACTTATTCTACTTATGCTTTTGATGAATGATACTAGATGGGACCTTATACTTGCTAACTGTTCTAATTCAGAGTACTCGGAAAATAGAAAGACAAACCTTGCAGTTTTCATAGGTAGCTTCGACAACTTCTTTGAACAAGGCCTTTGAGTTCACCTTATCTAAGAACTTCAAGTACAAGTCATGAAAATTTTGCTCAATACTAGCTCTGTGAAAACCAAATAAAATAAGAAAAAGTGAGAACGGCTCAATATGTTAGCAGTGATCCATAAAACATAGAACTATAAAGTAAACTTCACGTATGAAAGAAACACATTTAAATTTCACCTTTTCATCACCATATACTGAGCAAACCAGGGGTAATACTGCTCTTTTATTATTTCAGCAAATTCTTTTGCTTTAGTGTCAACATTTTGAATGGCCAAGTTATTAATGATAAATGACACTTTATCCTGCACTTCTGAGGCTGGTGCCTGTGTAACAAGATTAAAAGATAAGCATTGAATTCAGATGATATCATGGGCCATCCGAAAACAGCCTCTTTGTGCTTCAGTACAGGGGTAAAGCTGCGTACATCTGACCCCCCCCCTCTACCCCACCACAGGTGGGATCATTTGCGACCCTGAGGTAATGGTGTTGTTGTATTGAATTCAGATGATAAAGAAGAGTATGAACAATTTGGATGACAATAATGTTGTTAAATGATGGTCATGGAAACATCGCGGTGAATGACATGGCAGATATTTTACAAATCATTATATGAAGAGTTCGGAGATTAACTGTCTGATGCGGGGTAGGCCGACCCCATGCAGAGGGGAACTTTGGCCATCCGCCATTGAACATTAATAACATTGCAACTCTAATCATAATAAAGTTGGTAACAAACTTCACATTGTCATAATGCAAACCTAGACAAACACACTTGACTACAGAGATACATAACTTATAGCAGAACACAGAAGAAGCATCAATAATGCCATACAGAGAGCTAAGCCTCTTTTATATTAAGGTTTATTACGTTAAGGAAAATATCAGGATAGTGGAGTAGCAATGACTTTCTAATAGAAAATTAGTTTCTTGACTAAATTGCCTCAAGAAAGGCCGGGATTTCATCGCATCATCACATGCAATCCATAGTAAGACAAAAAGTGACATAAAATGACAAGCACATACCTCTATTGGTGTTACTCTTCTCTCAGCAGCAGCAACAAGTGTTTCAATATTTAATGCAGATCCGAACCCTATATCAACGATCAGCTTAAACATTAAGAACTATAGAGATTTTGAGCATAATAGGGAACTCAAAGAAAGTAAAATTTTAATTTTAATGAATTTAATTCAACGAACCCATACTTGTTGAGTTTGCCCGTGATGGACGCGTAAAACCCGGGGATACGGTGAGCGCTGCTGAAGAACTGAGCGCACTCTGTGGCTGCATTCAACAATTACAAATGCACAACAATGTTTTTAGAATTGGCAAACTCTATAAAATTGTCATAAGACATACTCATTCATCCCAATTATGATTTCCTATTGCCTCATGGAACAAAGTTTTAGGCAAGTCACCGTTTTATTGAGATTTTCACACCCGTCTGAAAAGTGGGTGATGTAAGCTGGTGGGGTAGTAATAAATGAAGGGTGAAGTAGATTGGGTAGTAAAGTTATTTTAGGAACGGGGAAACATAAATTGTGTGGATACATAATTGTTACGGCGCTGACTAATCGTCCTGGCGGTGGAGGAGTGGCACCATGCTCACTCGACTCACGTGAAGCTGCCAAGGCACAACTCAAGGTCGATTAGTCGTACGCAAGTCGCCATAGCCATGCCCAGAGACTTTTTTTTCAATCTGACCCGGAATATTAGGTTTGAGAAGATAATGAGCTTTAACATTAGCCGTCAGCCAGAACTCTGGGCCCTTCAACAATTCATCCCGTCGGCCAGGTTGCTGACACAAGTCACCGTAGTAGGACGCCACCTCAGGTCGCCGTCATATATAACTGCCGCTGCTTCACCTCTGCCTTCATTAAGGAGTCTTTGCGATTGCTTACACTTTAAAAAGTGATTTTAGAGAAAGTGTTTAATATTAAAAGTTGGTAGTGTTTGAGAAAAAAGTGCTTTTGAAAAAGTAAAAGTTAGTAGTGCTTTTGTATAATAGATAAAGTGAAAAGCAGTATAAAGCACCACTCAACCCGATTCTAGCTTTTAATCATTTAATTTAAGCAGGAGTTGTTACTTGATGGTTTTATATTTCCACAATTTGCGATGAAGCCAAAGATTCACTATTTTTTGGCCTGGAAAGCTAATGGAATAAAGCAAAATGGTTCACTAAACTGTTTGCGCTTATTTGTTATGAAGCAGCCGTCAGTCCATGCAATTTTCGACGCGATTTTCACCATTGGTTATCCGGAAACAGTCTCTTTGTGCTTTGGTCAGGGATAAAGCTGCGTACATCCGACCCCCTTACCCCATCGTAGGTGGCAGCCTTCGCGGCACTGAGATAATGATGAATGGGAAAAAAAGCTGTTACTTGAAAACACCTATTTCAGCTTTTTTAAGCCAAAAGCTGAAAAGAACTTTTTTGCAAACACCGCCTTACTCTCGCTTGTTCCCGGGTTTTGGAAGGTCGCTGGCAGTTATCACTTTTTGTATTTTGTTTGCTAATGCAGACAGCTCGACTCCGTCTTTTTTAAATATACAACGTATTTCATACTGTAAAATGTTTTATGTACAGTAATCCTCTGCTACTACTGATTTTATTTCATGTCCAGTTGTTGTACAATTATCAAATCTTTCAATATTTGTTAGTAATCGTCTGTGATACATTATTCTACTTAGTATTACCTATTTTGTGTTGATTTTCTTAGTAAAAATTTATATTGAACAGTTTCCCTAGATAAAGAATCTATTGTTTCATATAAGTTTTAAAGTTAATCCCTAATATAATAATTTATTAATTATGTATATTTAAATATTACATACGGAACGACTTGTCACATCGTTGTCACCAAGGCCATAAGGCGGTCAGCTGGCGTCGCGCATCGCCTAGCTGCCGTGACAACCATGTACGGATAATACATGAAACTGAGACAGTATCTTTGGGATGGAGTACAAAACTAAAACACATGCCTTTGGAATATTAGATGCCTCGCTTGAAGGGACAGTCACTGGACCAGTGGATGATACATTTTTCATTTGAACAGGGACAGCTGTGATTTTTCTCTCCTCCAAAGTGCTCTGCTGCCTTGGAGTTAGTAAAACTGCAGATGGCACTTGCATGCCTGCTTGGGAGCTAGCAGGTGCACTCAATGAATATGTAGGACCCTGTATGACAAATATTAGACACCCATTCTATAAAAAAAACTTTCAAATAAGGTGTCATAAATTCACTGTAGATAAACAATTTTGTCAGGATAATGGGGCAAAAATTTTGGTATATTTCAGGCATGCAAAGCATTAGATGCTACAGGTACGCAAATCCACACCGATGGAAGTATAGCAGCAGCAACAACAATAATAGAAACCATTTCACCTCCATATTCGATGTGGAAGGCTGGATATATCCCGGAATCTGGTCAGTAACAGCAATATGGCTTATCTCAGACTCGGAATGTGCAGATGAGATTCTTGCAAGTGCCCGTTCAATGTATAGAACAATATCCAAATGATTCGCACGGAGATGGGATATTTGTAAAATGTGATTGCAGTATTGTGGCCACTCAATTAAACGTTCTCGGAACTGATCCAGAGCCTTAATGCCAAAAGAAAACATCTGCACAAAGAAAGCCATCAGCAATATGAAGTTCTTACAAAGTAGTTGGAAAGCCTTATTGAATGAATGAATGAATAAATAAATAAATAAATAAATAAATAAATAAATACAAATTAATAAATAAATAATCAAATAAGCAAACAAGCAAGCAAGCAAACGAACGAGCGAGTAAGTAAATAAGTAAGTAAATAAATAAATAATACTCCCTCCGTCCCTGAAAATACTTCCAACTTTCCCTTTTCGTCCGTCCCAAAAAGAACTTCCCTTTCCTTTTTTGGCAAAGAACTTGTGGTTCACAGCATTTCTCTCTCCTCTACACAACTCTCCACCACACATTTCCCACTTTCTTAATCCGCGTGCCACTTTATTTCGGAAGTAAATTATGGAACGGAGGTAGTAAATGAATAAATCAATACAAATTAATAAATTATCAAATAAATAAATTATCAAATAAGCAAGCAAGCAAACGAGTGAGTGAGTGAGTAAATAAATAAATAAATAAATATTTAAATAAATAAATAAATATATACTTTTGAATCAGCGGGTTTTCGCAAAGCATCCAAAACAGCCCGCAAGGCAATTCCAAGAGTAAGATGTGTTACAAGCTGATGCTTGATAAGGGATCCTGAAATTTAGGCAACAAAGTTCATGTTGTATGATTTGCATTGACTTAAATTTACAACACCAATCTTGAAATGAGACATGATTATAAGAAACATCACAGCATGATATTTTACATGTAAGATAAACAAATAACCTATATTTTACATGCAAGTGAAACAAATAACCCTTCATAAGCAAGTACTGATAGGAAGTGCATCATGCATAAAACTTTTGTCACTACGTTTTTTGAATGAATTCGTAATGTTAACTAATCGTACATAGTATATTGACACTTCAAATTTAATGCTACCAAATGAAAGGTAAGCATATAACATGTTGAATTAACTATGCCTGGAACCACAGTACGCATATAAAAATTATCTTTAGCTTCGCTGAACGCTAAATGATAGCAATGTGACCAACATCAACTACGCAGAACATGAATTATGCATATTAATTTGGGGCAAATGGGTAGTATTCCATGCCCGACAGTACATTTGCAACAGTAGGTGGTGTGGCGTGCCATACAGCCCTGAGTAGTATTCCATGAATAAGGGATAGTGTACAATGTATACAGTTCTATCAGTCATTTTGTAATATTAAAGCATGTACCCCATCTCCTACTGGAAATAGAAATGTGGGATGGTGTGTGTTTATAACGTAGGATAGTACAGAATCTCCAGGAAGATATGCAAACACTCACCAAAGAGAACAGCAGCAATTGTAAGCTGTTTGTCTGGATATTTTGAGAAAAATTTATATTCCTCAAAAAGATTGGCAATCATAAATTCAAAAACTGCTTGTTCCCTGAAAGTAAAGACAGAGATTAAGCAATAAAAATTTCTTGAAAAATAAAAAACTAACCATTCCCAGCAGGTTAACAGCCACTTTGACAAGTGAACCATTCTTGGTGTACCCCATTTTGGGGGTACACCATTTGTACCCCACTATTTGTGTGGTTCACAAAAGGCCATCCATAAATTAATTGCCCCATTATTATGAATTGCCTTCCACACAAATAGGGGGGGTACAAATGGGGTACCCCAAAATGGGGTACCTCTAGTATTTTTCTTGACAAGTAGGATGACATCAAAGTAGAAACCTTTTATCAGAGGATTCTTTGAACCGAGCAAGCATTTGAATAATCGAGTCAATCGACCGTTCTTCATGAAACATTTGCTGGAAATATGAGTTCACTTCTGCTTCAATGTCATCGGCATGAGCTTCTGAGGTTGAAGAGTTAGCGCTAACAGTCTTAGACCTTGAGTTAGAATTCACTAATGTCACGTTCAGCTTTTCCAATTCCTTGGGCAAGTGAGGAGAGGAAATTAACTCCATGTGAGACTGAAGAATCTGGACATGAGGGCAAATGAATAGAATAGCATTGATGAAGGACGCTATTTAACTAATTAGACAACAGCTAAAGCCAAACCTTAACGAACACGGATGAAGCTTCCAGATAAATATTTGAAAGAGCAGTTGGGGGATGAAAGCAGTCGGCAGAGACATCATGAACACCGAATTGAACCTCCTTTAGAAACTTTAAGCATACCTAAAGGTAGCAATAAAAACTTAAACTCAATAGTCAAGATTTTCTGCTCAAAGCCAAGATTCTGACATTACAACGAAGGTCAACAGTCAACACTCAGTTTATTGAGAAAACTACCTCATAAAACTCATCCTTAAATATGCATAAGTTGGTGCTCAACCATTTCTCAAGATCTATGAGCCCTTTCTGAGAAGCTACGGCAGCAAGTCTAATGCCAATATTAGAAGGGAGCATATCTAACACTGGTGAAACAATCTGCATAAATAATGGGTGAATACAATCTCACCTTTCAAGTTGTTGGAAGAAAGGGATAAGAGATAGAGCACGGACAAATATAGAGTACATGTTGCACAAGATTGTGACAGTTTGTGTCTTAAAGCTACTGAAAATTTATATTGTACAAAAAAGCAATGCAATTGAAGATCTTCAATTACTAAATAAGTCAAACCTTTGGTTCTTGACAGGCCTCCAAAACTCTGCTAATATTGTCTGGATCAATTGCTATAGCATCTATAAACCCCCTCACCAAAATGTTTGGATTGACATGCCATAAATAATGGATCATGCCCATCCGAAGAGCATTTTTCAACATCCTAGGGAAAACTGCTGAAGATATTTCGTGATGAAGAAGATTATATGCAGTCTGCAGTCCATATAGCGAAGGTTGGTTATAAACTTCAATATAAAAAACAAAAACAATACAAAAAGTAGGATTCCCACAATACACTGTGTTTAGAGAACAGTACATTAATGTGTGACATGCCAAGAAGTAAGATCTCAGGGCAGTGCTTAAGAGGGTACTCAATAATAGATCGAACATAGCTTGCATGTCCCCTCTCAGCAAGCAGGCACAAGACTTCCAGAAGATCAAGACACAACCAAGCATGATTTGAATGCCCAAGTTGAAACTTGTTGTCATTGACAGCATCTACATATGCCTGTCAAAAAGTGATGACAGTCAGGGGAGGGGGGAAGGAAAAACAAGAAAATACTAAACTGAGAGAGATATACCAGTTGCCTCCCTGAATGAGCAAAGGTAAATACTTCAGGAGGAGCCAAGACAGCATGACTCAGAAATGATAGCTGTCCCTCAGAATTCTTCCAGACAGAACCACAGACAGCTTGGAGAGGGAAGGGATCCTAATCATAAATACAAATTAAACCACAACACTGTCATAATGGCATGTTGCACATTGCAGTCACCTACTCGTCATTCTAAAATAGGCAGAGCTGAAAACAAGTAATTAGAACTTTAGCCAAAATTTATGTTGCACATTACAGTCATCTATGCCTCAGAGCATACCCTCTACTCGCCAACATCTTCCCCTAGCCAAACTTTCTACAAAAAAAATGTCTGACCTAACCTTCCTCTTACACTAACCGCAATCTCCACTAAAATTCCCCCCTACCAATAGTTCCGTTGTAAACTTTTAACTGTAAGCACATCCTAACACAAATGCCTTAAACTGAACAAGCTAAGACAAAGTATATGTGTAACATACCTGGCAAGCACATTTATACATGGACATGATGAAGAAAAATGCCGTTTCATTATAGACATAGAACCCATCATGATCTAGGTTTTTTATAACAATTACCCAATTTAGCCCAGGAGCCTGCAAATCATCCAGTTAGCCAAGAAAATACACAACAACGACATATGATACAATGGTTGCATATATATGTGCAAGAAGTAAACTCACTAGCATCTTGATAGCATCCATGAGTATATCAGCATCCCATGAACTTGGCGATGGTAAATCATTCACATTAGTACTTCCAAAAGCAGCTCCAAATGTTGAAAATATATTCATAGTATCCTCCAGTCCTGAATAGGTGCGCATAATCATCCCAAGTACCCTTGCAACAGTAATTTCTGTCAAGGGTAAGAAGAGAGATAAGATTTCTCTGCATTGCATGGCATTAGCCGTGCATCCATAACCTAAATCCTTCATTATATCAGCCATGCTCATCTCCTTTTCCGTCTCTATCAAAAGAGAATCAAAATCATCTTCACCATCATCATTAAAAGAATCAAAGTTCCTGCGGCAAACAAAATGATGAAATATATCACTCAAAAAATTACTAAGTATACGTGTGCGCCATATATACTGTCACAATAACCTAAGCAACACAGAAACTCCAAATTGATAACATTGGTCTGTTTTAGAAACTCTTAAACATCAAATTCCCATTCCTGTGCCATTTCTGTAATTACAAATGGGAAACCTTGTCCCCAATTAATTAGGGTTTCAAAGGCATTTGGTCTCCATTTTTTCTTCTTGATGGCATTACATGATGGGAATTAATGTCTTTTATGGAACTTTTTTATGGGATTTTTCAAACCATGTCTTCATAGCAATATGCTTCTTCTTGGGTTGGTTTTTTATCATATCTTCTTTTTATCTTTCTTTTCTATTCGACTCCAATATCATGTATCGATTCGTGTTAGCCTGCCACAATATCTTTTGGGACTAAGTCTTGGATGTCATTGTTGTCTTCATAGCAATATGGTCTTTAACTCTTTAAGACATTTAATTGCACAATGCCTTAATGCCTTGGTGGAAGTGCAATGCATTTCAATTTAATTACTTCCTCATATGTGAAAATTTTCTATATTTGAACAGGCAGGCCATTTTTATCTTAAGCTATGTAGGAAATTGTATACAATAACAATGTTTATACATGTATATGAAAAAATATGCATACATATATATATATGGAAATATAAACATATAAATATAGAAAATATGCATACATACATATATATGGAAATATATGAATATATCTCCATAATTTTATCTCAAGTCTCCCATTCCGCACTTCCATGAAGTGCATAATAATGATACATTAATTAATTAATATTATTAAAAAATACAATTTATATGTGAGATGTCAAGTTCAATTACATTTCCTCTATTCTAACCGAACCAATGTGCCAAATATATTACTACTTCTTCCTAATTATTCACATATCTTTTTTACCCGTCCAAATATCATTTGAAATGGAGCCAAAAACTCGTTATTTTTGGCTTGGGAATATGATGGAATTGTTAGAATATACATATTTAATAGTCGATATTTGTGCTTTAGGTCATTCGAAAACAGTCTCTTTGTGCTTTAGTACAAGGGCAAGACTACGTACATCCGATCCCCCTTACCCCACCATAGATGGGAGGCTTTGTGGCACTGAGGTAATGCTTTTGAAGGAAAGCATTCATATTATTTCTTACTCCACTAAATAAGGTTCAACCACACCATATTCCTTTTCTTCATATCTATGCCGGTTAAATTGTAATGTTAATTAAGTTACGGGGGGCTTGATACTACATTAATAGCTATGGTAGAAGAAATACAAAGTCAACATCACCAAAAATACCTCCAAAAGTTGGTTCCACAAACTTCCTTAGAAAGCAATGGAGGTAAAATCAATTGGGACCCGCCTTTCAATCCGACAAGCGACAGCATGTGAATAAACAAGTCTAAATGCTTAGAAAGGCCTTCAGATTTATTAAGAATCCATAAAATCTTCTGAATTTGTTCCTGAATTCGTTCCATAGAATCCAAAGACATTTGATTTGAGCATAACTCAACAATCCAATGCATGCAGTAGCTTTTCCCTGCAATATAGCAATACAATCTATAGTGGAACATACATCACCGATACTTGATTGGTCATCCATGTCCACTTCAAAGCTAATATTGATCTAAGCATAAGTTTCTTACATGGTCACAAGTTAGAATGGCTTACCACATATTTTTACATCAGCAGTGTCAGAGTCGGACAAAGCCAGACCAACCTCAATTCTCTCCAATGCTGACAACTGTAATGCATTACACAAATTTTCTAGAAGTTCTTCATTGATTGTAAGATCTCTTACCACCACACGGAAAACAGTGCTGAAATCGGGTTTATTCAAGATGAACTTAAAAATTGAAGCATAGACTTCATCAAATCGCTTATTCTTCAGGTCTTCTCCATAAATATCAAGGTGATCAAATAAGGCTCCAAGTAGCAGCTTTCTCCCCTCGATTCCATATTCTGCAAACTGCAGTTATATATTATAGAAAATTAGCTAGTTGATGCATATGAGTCACAAACATTACATTCATAACTTTTTCAAATTGCAAAGAATTGTGTGCAACAAAATCATGTAAGGTTGTAGTGCAACACTTTCAATAACACTTTCAATATTATCCTGTATTTAGTTGCCCAACAAAAAAAAAATCATATCATAAGTCATTAACTTCGGTGCTTCAAATAACCAATATTCTAAGCAGCCAGAACCGATGAGGAATTAAAACACACAGTCAGCATTATAACCACTTCTTTCCAACTTATTTACATTCAGAGTTCCACAAATATTATAATAACAGACATATCCCACAAACAACTTCCCATAAATGCTCTGACTACATCGTAGAGAACAAAAGCACCTTAAATTTGTAAGGAAGACTAGGAATTTAGTGACAGTTTTGCAACAAGCTTTGATATGACTATTGATCAGGGGCGGACCTTAGTATAGACTCAGGGGTTACCGCCCCCAACAAGAAATTTTTTTAGTGTGTATATATATGAAAAATATATTTCTTCCTCCTAAAAAATATTTTGAACCCCGAACAAATATTTTCGCCCCAAAGATCGACTTTCCTAGGTCCGCCCCATAATTCAAGCACGTGTCCTCAAACTCATTACATGAACGGATAGTAAGTATATAACCTGGGCGAGCGCATCCATTACAGACTGGGGATCGGAATCCCTTGAACTGTGCAGTATATACTCAATCTGTGAGGAAGATGTCGAAGTGAACGGAACCATCGCAAAAGACTGAGCTAGGGTTTGTAGTTGGGATTTAGCGAGCGAGATTAAACAGAGCACTTGAAATCGAATGAGCTTCTTGGGGGTTTGATAGTTCGATAATGCGCAGTCTAACGGGTGTTGATTGGAAAATGAGGGAATCCTTGAAATCGAGTAGCTGTGGCTTATATAGTTTAGTTGATAGTGCGACCACTCTGGATTTGGGTGCTTTATACAACATTTTCGCTCCATTATTTTTTATTTTCTTTATTTTTAAAAATTGTAATAACTTTTTTATTTGATATCTGATTTTTATAAATTTTATATCAAATTTTTTTATTTTTCATGATCTATCAAATGAGACCAATATTGATTATGTAATTTTAAGAAATTATCGAACTATTATATAAATGATTATTGGATTATAAAGAAAACCGAACTAAATTTAATACAGAAAAATAATCGTGTAACTCACAATTTATCTTAAAATTGTGTATATAAAAAAATTATTGTAATATGTATTTATACATGTGAGTTACATATTTTTATGCGTAAAGTTACATATTTTTACATGTAAAATTACATATATATACACATGAGTTGCATTTGGTCTGCCTGAACGCGAGTTACATATTTTTACACGTAAAGTTACATATTTTTACATGTAAAGTTACATATTTTTACACGTAAAGTTACATATATATACACACGAGTTGCATTTGGTCTGCCTGAACGCGAGTTACATATTTTTACACGTAAAGTTACTTATTTTTACATGTAAAGTTGCATATTTATACACGCGAGTTACATATTTATACACACGAGTTGTATTTGACCTGTCTGAACGCGAGTTACATATTTTTACACGTAAAGTTACATATTTTTACACGTAGAGTTACATATTTGTACACACGGTTTGCATTTGGCCTGACTGGACGTGAGTACATATTTCTACAAGTAAAATTACATATTTTACATAGGTTAATATAATAGTTCGATAATATGTTAAAATTACATAGGCAATATTGGTCTCATTTGAAAGATCATGAAAAATAAAAAATGTTGACATAAATTTTATAAAAATCGGATCAAAAATAAAAAAGTTATTACCATTTTTTAAAAAATGAGAAATAAAAAATCTAACTCTCCACCTCAAACCGTATGCCGGTATAAGGTGCTCACCGTATACCGGTCATACGGTATAACAACTGCATTTTCACCTATGCCATGCACGCGACTACGAAGCGACCTAATTAAGTAATCAAATACCACATAGGTAACAGATTAGTTCATATTTGAAAGGATTGATTTGTCTACGCTAATCAACCAAACCAATTATAATAAAAAAGTTTATCTTTTTTTATATACTTAATGACACTACGCATGAGAGACAAAAATTCTTCCGTCTGCGGTTTAGATTTTGTTCACTCGATATTCTGCTCTCCTTTATCAGAAAGAATGAGAGTTCAAACGCCTGCAGCCGAATATCTCCGTTCAGAATTCTCTCTTCTTCCTCTCCAGAAACGATCAGAGTTTAGAAACCTTTCTATAGTAGGTATTTTCATTCCCTCTGATTTCCAATTTCCAATTTCAGGTTGTGATTCTCATTCATCATACTTTATTCTATTGCATTTTTTGTTGTTTGAGTTTGTGACTAAATTTAACTTGATTGCTTTCTGTTATATTATGAAACTCTTCTCTAATTTCATTGTATTTGATATCACAAATCTTTATATACTTAGAGAGAAATTCTCCCACCTAAAGCCATGGCCCTAAAATGTAATTTCTCCGCTAAACTTTTCTATGATCCACATTTCTCCTATTCAGCCGGCTCCACCTGACCCCGTCTTCTCTCTTCTCTCTTCACCAAAAATTGACTGCAATTTTCCTTACCATTTCAGCTTTTCTTCTTCACCAGTTCTCTCTTCTGAAGTCATCTTGTTCATCTATGCTGCGGTTCAAATATAAGCTCTCTTTGCTTTTCTAAAGTTTCAGCCGCACGAACCACTCACCCATATCCACGCCTCAAGTTTGTTCAACGCATCTATCGTCATTTCCCCACACCATTTCACATATTTCTACATCTCATCTATTACCTTCATCGAGAACCAGACTTCAATCGTCCTCATCGGAAATACCTCAGTTTAGATTTTGTTCACTCGATATTCTCCTCTCCTTTATCAGAAAGCGTGGGAGTTCAAACGCCTGCAGCCGAATATCTCTGTTCAGAATTCTCTCTTCTTCCTCTCCAGAAACGATCAGAGTTTAGAAACCTTTCTATAGTAGGTATTTTCATTCCCTCTAATTTCCGATTTCCAATTTCAGGTTGTGATTCCCATTGAACTTATTGTTTCCGCTTTCATCATACTTTATTCTATTGCATTTTTTGTTGTTTGAGTTTGTGACTAAATTTAACTTGATTGCTTTCTGATATATTATGAAACTATTTTCTAATTTCATTGTATTTGATATCACAAATTGTGGTAAATTGAGAATAGAACATTGACTCTTATTTATTTCGAATGAATTGACATGCTATATTTGATGTTGTTATATGGAGCTAAATCTATATTATATAGCATAGTTACTCCCTAATTATGCACATGTAGTGTTTGATGAAATGCTTAGGTCATCTTTCTTTGTATTTTTTGATAGCATTATAGAAAAATCTACAAGTTAAGCCACATTAACTATACTTTATGAATTTATTTTCTAATTTTTATTATATTTGATACCACAAATTGTGGTAAATTGAGAATAGAACATGGATTAATATTTATTTTGAATGAATTGACTAGCTATATTCAATGTTGTTAAATTAAATGGAGACAAATCTATATTAAATAGTATAAGTACTCTCTAATTATGCATATTTAGGGCCTGTTTACTAACAAAGATATTTTCCAGTTTTTCAGAAAACTGGAAAACTAGAAAACGGAAAACAGGAAACGTGTTTACCAAAGAAAATTGCCGGAAAACTGGAGAACGGAAAACTGAAAAACGTGTTTACCAAACCGTTTTTCAGAACGAAAAAAATGAGACATGTCTCTCTTTTCCTTAATGATTTGGAGAAGTGACTTTTACTAGTGATGGATAGTGTACCCGAGGGGTAAGTTATCCGAGGGGTTATTGCGGAGAATAACCAGAGAGAAGTGAGAGCAAATAAGCAAGAAAGAGTATGTATTTGATATGAATTTTGCGTGGTTTACAATGGGGAAAAGGGTTGCTATTTATAGCAGCAATAAATGCTAGATAGGGACACATGTCAATAATCTGGTGGTTGAGGGGTCACCTCAATCGGGGTGGCACTGGCACTCATATGTGGCCGCATTAAATGTGGCGGTTGGATGCGACGTTGTACTTGGTACGGTGATTCAGATCCATGTGAAGAGGAGATTCTGTCGAGGAAGGTGCCTTCGGCTGTAGATGATAAGTCGAAGGCTCTTCATACCGAGGGCCTCTCAGTGCCGAGGGCCCGAAGTGCCGAAGGCTACTGATTTCGCCGTTTTCTCCCAATAGCTTCGTATGCCCAAAACAAGATGTCCTGTGGAATTTCGAGCATTCGACCTAGGGGGTCGAAGGCGTCCATGTGTGCAACGTTGGCTCCTTGATATTTGGGGAGCTATGATTTGGTCCTGTTATGCTTCCTGGGCTTGTTGGGCCTGAGTCAGAGTAGCAGGAGTCTGTGGGTCGGGGGTTCCTGGGCCATATACTCCATCAGGAGTCCCTCACTCCTTTTGTCGAAAGGTACTTGAGGGAAAAGGAGTAGTTGTGTTTGTCCTCTGATGCTGCCTTGCTGTGGTTTGTAAAGTAGTGAGGAGTCTTGCGTTTGTATGTTCTGCCGAGGGCAGTGCCTCAGTACCCCACATTTTGGGACTTTGGAGGATTGTGTTGGTGTTTTTAGGGAAAGTTTATCATTTTGTGATTTTTCCCGGAGGGGTCCTTCAGTCCCCCACTCCTTGAGGCACTTGTAATGTGGTGAAAATGAGTAGAGCAGTGCCTGTTTTTATCATAGAGCTGAAGGCTTATGCTTTTTGTTTCATTTTGGGGGGATGCCTCGTTAAAAACCTTATTAGGAAAAACCCTGTGGGAAAAAATCCTAATGAGGGAAAAAGAGTGCTCTGAATCCCCCAATGATGAATCGAAAAGGTGAACCCTTGGTCTGAGATGAGGGATAATGTTGATGCCGAGAGGTGTCCATGAGTTGAGGGTCTTCTTCCTGGTTTAGCCGAAGGCTGATTGTTGATATCCCGGGGATGCCGAGAGGAGTCCCTCAGTCACCAGAGCTGAGGGCGTGTTGACATAGGTGATAGCTCTTGTGTTGCCGAGGGGGATTCCCTAACTCTTGATAAGTTGGAGGCTGGGGGCTCCAGAGGGCTCCCATTATTTTATGTCGGAGGCTAACCATTGATAAGGGGGTTGAAGGTGTGTCCCCCGGGGGGGTCCCTAGTTCTCAACATGTTGAGGGCGAAGGGTTCCTGAGGGGTTTTCCAGTTGTGAAGCCGGGGGCTCCCCTTGATGAAGGAGTCTGAAGGAGTTAGCCTGAAGGCATGCATAGTGTTGTCTGAGGGGGTGCCAGATGAGGGCACCTTAGTCTGTAAAATAGAGCCATTGAGACATGACCGTTGGAATATGCCCGTTGGAATATGGACCGTTGGTGGTGGGGTCCACGTGGCAGCCCTTGGTTGGATGACCCCGGGCGGGTGCTACCGGTTGGCGGAGATGACGGTTTGTAGTGATGATTTTCCCATCGGGGGGGGGGGGGGGGGCGGTTTTTGGCCCAAGCCCGGATTGGGGAGGCTATAAATACCCCATGGCATGTCCTTTTCTCCTTGCGCGATTTGTGTTGTCTTAGCGAAGCTCTGCCCAATTTGTCTCTAGAGAGAGAAAGTGCTAGTTCGATCAAACCTTCGCCTCCAAGGTCAGTTCTTCATCCATTCTTCGTTTCTTCAGCACACCTAGCTTCCTTGCCTTTAAATCTAGTGTTTATGGGCCTTTAGATCTAGTGTTTAGGGGCCTTTAGATCTTCCGAGAGCGATTCCCAAAATATCTCGAGGGATCCTTCAGTCGAGGTAGAAAGCATCTCTGATGTTGAGTCTTCGAGTGGGCAGCCTTTGGCGGGTGATGCTGCTGCCATGGCCATGGAGGTACAGAAAGACCTCATTGCCGAAACCGAAGCCGAGGACTTCGAGCAAGTGGTAGA